CTGAAGAACGACAACTCTTTTCTTCAAAACGAACGAGAAAAAAACATGAAAATTAATCATAACTTTTTTGAAACGTCGGTGACATATACATTTTTTTGCTTTATTTTGAAGAGTACACATGGCACTTTCTTTCTTGAAATTTTTATGAAAAAATCACTGGTAGATATTTTTTAATACTTGAAACGTTTTTCATTCTTGCGTTTTATTTTTGGCGGGAATGAAATAAATCATATTTTTTCAGATCAAAACAATAAGAGTCTTAAAGTCTTGAACCTGTATTTGATAGACACAAGTCTACTCTTTAACATGAAACAAGAATTATGCTTGTAGGTTTGATATAATGGTATTTTTTGAGAGTTTAAATAACAAGCAAATATCATGTTAATATTCGGGAAAACACGAAACTGAGGTTGCTATAGTGACAAAACTAAGTCGGTGACCCCCAATTTTTTTTATCATATTTTGTTCCTCAAAACATGAAATACCTTCACACAAAATTTTAAGGAAAAATCACTGGTAGAACTGAATAGGCTGTTTGGTCTTTAAGAAAATTAAACATATCATTACTAAATATTGCAAATTTTTATAAAATGATAATTATATAACTTTCAGTGTCATTTGATTTATTTATTAATTTCTACACATTAAAAAAAAATTAAAGATTAAAAACAAATTATATTGACATCTAATCAGTTAATTTGTTATTCTATTAATTAACGTGTCTAAAATCTTAGCTTCTGGTTATATTCTATTACTTAACTTATTAATGATAACTTTGATAGTGGATAAGTTTGTTTTTGTTTGTGTGTTTTTTAGTGGTAAATCTATAAATCTAAACTTAATTTCGCAACGTTTGCCTAGCTGCTTGTTAGAAACCCATCGTATGTTGTTTACAAAGGGAAAGAGTAACTTATCCATGTTTCCCCAAATCACAATAAGATAACTATGGTACTACTGCACTACAATAAATATTATAGACTACTATAGCTATTAGATAACTATTAACAGAGACGGTGATGTATGTTATGTCTCTGCTACTGACTACTCAATAAGTACTATAAAAAGACGTTAATGAATAATAAGAAGCAGTTTTAACTTTAATTAATACTAAGTTATGAGTAAGATGTATAAATAGAGATTTTTGATAATATGGGATCTTTGGATACAATCTTATTGATTTTTTTTTTAATTTTTGTGTGGAATATAGTTTCAGTTATGTGTGATGGAAATGTAAAAACAAAAAGAAAATAAAAGAAGACATAAAAAATTCGCTATATTTTACAAGGTCATACACCTTATGGAGACAAGAACACTATACAAAAAGATAAACAATATATCTATGCATACTAGTATATGTTTTTTTTATATACGGCCTAATATTCATTGCATATTCTTTTTACAGAAACTATCTTTTGTCATACATATTACCAATGAAAATGTAAGATTTTTGGACAAAATGGCCCTTAAATCAAATATATTTCGAACAATCTCTGATTTTCATTAATACAGATCCTGCGTTCATGCTTTGCTTACTAATTATCGAAAAATGGACCGTGGTATGGTCTTTATTTCAAGCAGACTAGATTTTCAGAATCAAATTTGGAATCTCTGCAATGCTGTCACTTCTTAGATAAAACATTGCAGGTTTGGTTTAAGATGTACATTTTCGTTGGTTGTAAGATGACAGTAAATGAAACATGGTAATGTATAGTAATTTGGCAACAGGTAAACCATGTGAGTGTCTAACCAGACACGTGACTACTCCTGGGATAAAATGTTGAAATTAAGAATTAGAAGTGCAGTAGATCTTTTAAAAGAATGCTGATATATTTTAAACATATATCATATATTTCTGTTTTCTGAATTAATTGAATGAACTATACGGTGAGGGATTTGCTCAATTGCTTTCATTCATGTCGTTTTGGTACATGGTGGATAGGTAATCAAAACGGTTGCATGAAATCGGAAGTATTTTCTAAGGAAATAACATGTTGAATATTCAATTCACAAGCGAAATCTACTTGGAGGTTTTAAATTTAAATGCCCAGGTTTTAAAAAAAACTAGGTTTCCTGTTACATGTATTATTTAAAAAATAAAATGAACGCATCAGTCCATCAATATAATTATTCATTTGTATACGTGGCCAGGAAATTGTTTACGGCTTTCTATTGGTTCTGTGTCTATGGTTTCACAAATATGTTATCGAATTTAGCCTGCATTGCTTGGACCCACTAATAAGGCCTTTAAAGTAAGGAACACTGTGAAAAAGACCGGGTGGGAATATCTCTTTCCATTTAAAGGTTATGTTTTTTTTCGAAAAAAAAATCGAAAATATGGTATTTTGTGTGTTTACATGGAAGATGCAATCTCGAAAACTAATTCATTGAGGTATTTCTTTTTTTTTTTTCATATTTCGAAAGTACGTATCAACATGTCAGAATTTCAAGGACAAATCAATGTTAGACCTGTTATAAATTTATCAAAAACATGCTATCGATTTACACCAATTGTCATGTAAACATAAAATACGTGTATATTGATCTATAAAGTTTTGACTTCCGTTTGTACAAAATTTCCAATTGGAAAACTGGTGTATCAAAGTTGCTAATTCTTAAATCGTTTCACATTTGTAAAAAAAGGTAGTTCACTAACTCATAATTTTGGCCCTAAAAATCTGAAAATTTTTAACTGCGACAATGTTGTTAGAAATTGACGAAAACATGTTTTTTTTATTTTAAACAGATATTTCCACCAATTGCGTCATGAATAATGTACTTGTCACGTCATCAATATAGGGATATTTCGCTAAAACCTGATTTTATGCAAAATTTTCAAAAGGTTACGACAGTTTTCTGAAAAAAAAAAAAAGTAGCGCCACACCTCGCCCACAAATATTTTTGCAGAAATATTCTTTATATACCATATTCTTTACTTTTCAACCAAAATTTCAATGGCCGAAGGGTTGCGCCACATATAAAATAAAAAAGGTCTAAAAGTTGACAAGTTTCTAGAAAATGGACGAAATGAAATCTTTTCCTTTTTCAGACTAATTTTTTTACAAATATGAAGCAGCTATACAATTTCTCTCATTATACTTTCGAAAATGATGTATTAAGAAATACATACACTATAGATTTACTCAAACAATTTAAGTTTTAAAAGATACACCTTTACAGGGCCATATAGTGGGGTTAGTGGCTCTACTCCTTTCATGATCCATGACTTCTGCATTTTTTGTCTTGGTTGCACAAACTACGTATATCGTATCTTGAGCAAAGAAGATAAAATGCTGATACTATGAGCAAGCTATCAGTTTTCATCATTTGTCACGCAAACATGTAATTATTCAGTAAATTGTCATTTTTCGAAACACTTCCTGCTTAAAAAAATTCTCGGAAAATTTAGTGTCAATCAAATTAAAATATGGATCTCCGATTTCGTTATGCTTATATGAATTAGACGAGTAACCGAGTTCCGATAGATCTGAATTTGAATCAGATTGTTTGAATGTTTTTAATACGTTACACATTTGTTTAACTGAACGAAAAAACAATGGTGTTTATTTTTGTTTTCTTTGTGGTGTTGCTTACAAGTTGTACCTTATCCTCAGCCGAAGAAAAAAGAAATGAGTCTACATGGATGATGATGTTGAAGAAAATGACCGAACAATTGAAAAAATTGCAGTTTGAACTAGATAGAATGAAAAATCGTAAGTATACGCTTGATCAAAATGATAAAACATTTTCAAACTTTATGCACAAGGTATTTTTTACGTAGATAAATCTTTTAAACTTTGATATATTTTTAACTTGTTGTTTCGATCCTTTATGTGAATCTACTTGGTTACTCTTTAACGTCTATTGCAGTTCGACATCCGTTTAAAGTGTTAAAGTTACTAAAGTTTCAATCCCGTCAGCTTAGAAACTTAATGATATTGCTTTAGATTGAGTATTGTAAAAGGTGCAATGTTATTCATACCTTATTTGAAAGAAGTAGGGGAAATTTAAGAAATTCTAGGACCGCAAAATTGAGTTGCATTTGAAGGACAGTTTCTTTTTTCCTTTTTTACATTTCTTTATTTCCAGGACGGTAGGTTAGTGTATCAGCTCCTAAGGTCAGGCCGACAAAGAGTTTGTCATGTTTTTGAATTATATCGTTACAGGAAAATGTCCTAATGGCTGGAAGTTATTCTCAGACCACTGTTATTTGTTCGTTTACAAACCAATTACATGGATGGATGCTAGGGTAAGTGAATTATACTTCTTCATTCACGATTACGATTGGCTTGTAAGTATTGTGTATCGAACAAAAAATTAAATCGGGGGAGGGGGGGATTGATCTTAGCTTCTTTTACTGATATTTAAAATGTTTTAATTTTTGAAATACTAAGGCTTTTCTACCTCAGGAATAGATTACCTAAGCTGTATTTGGCCAAACTTTTAGGAATTTTTGGACCTCAAGGCTCTTCAACTTCGTACTTTATTTGGCCTTTTTAAAAAAAATTTATTCGAGCGTCACTGATGAGTCTTTTGTAGACGAAACGCGCGTCTGGCGCAAATACAAAATTTCAATTCTGGTATCTTTGATGAGTTTATTTGCTGGAATGTTGATCTGAGGTTTGAAAAGCGGGTGTAGGGGTTTTAAAAAATATCTGAATTATATCTGCAATCGTAACGTTCAAAAGCAAGTATTTGAAGAACAATCTTAAACTGTCTGGGTAATGAATATTGTTTTGATTAAATAGGCATAGGCGTTCTTTATGTTCAAATACAGATAATATATAGAGAAGTGGTGTATACGTCAATCAGCAGCATCTTAACGACAGAAAAATAACAAAAAAGATATCTAGAGGTCAACATTTACTACATAATAGTCAGGCGTCTATACAATATGTCAAGATTTGTCAAGCAACTGCTTATAAAGGTTTAATTTCTGTCCTTTCATATATGGCCATTGATTACCATACGGTAATTTGTAAATTACATTTTACTTGTTATAGACTGAGTGTCAAAATAAAGGCGGGTATCTTGTAAAGGTTGAGAATGGTCACGAGGAGACATGGTTGACGTCAGAGTTGAAAGGTATCGTAACTATTATGTAATCATCTGCTTAAAAAACTTTGTGCGACATTAAGTACAAAAATATATTACATGTAATGTATAAAGCAGATACGCAACCCGTGTTAGGAGATTGTCCCTCTCTGTAAACCCTTTTGCCGTGTTACTTTTTTTCACAGTATACATAATTGGGTGTTTTTCTTGTATAATCTTGATGAAATAAGATAATTTGGCACTACTTAAAGCTCAAAACAAGCTCCAGATATGGACCTTTTATTATATTTAAAAACAAATGTGCTAACACTATATTAAAATAGCATGTGTTATGATTGCCAAAGAGCCTATATACAAGAGTCCAGTTGGCGTAGTTGTAGGCAACTATTGGTCATCGTTGAACAAACTCTATACCGTATAGTAAGCAATAAAAGAATCCAACATGACAAAAATAAAACAATTCGGCCGACAAAACCATATATTGGTTTACGTACAAAACAATTAACGAAAAATAATTATGCAGCGATAACAACACTCACTGAATTACAGGCTACTGATTTGAGACAGTCATATACAGAATGTGCCGGGATTAACACTTTTATGTACATTTGGCAAACTATGGAATAATTCTGTAATTATTTGTCCATACCCTCGAAATAGAAATAAGAAGATGTGGTAGAAGTTCCAATCGGACAACTCTCTATCCAAGTCACAATGTGCAAAAAGTAAACAATTATAGGTCAAAGTACGGCCTTCAACACGGAGTCTTGGCTCACATCGAACAGCAAGCTATAAAAGGCCCCAAAATGACTAGTGTAAAACAATTCAAACAGGAAAACCAACGGTATAATCTATATAAAAAACGAGAAACAAGAAACATTTATGACCACATCAACAAACGACAACCACTGCAACAGGTTCCTGACTTAGGACAAGAACAATGAAGCTGTATTATATTTTAAGAACGAACTGTCTTGTAAGTTCGTAAAATATTATATGTTCTTCTGTCATATTTGTTTAGTTAAAAAAATATCCCTTTTTTCTTCAGACGAGGTATGGCTTGGAATGAATGACATTCAGAATGAAGGACATTGGCGTTGGTCTGATAACTCTTTTGTATCGTATACCAATTGGAGATATAGCGAACCAAATGGTGGAAGATGGGAAAACTGTGGATGCTACTGTAAAAATTCCTGTTACTGGACTAGTTTCAATTGGAATGACAGATCTTGTTCGTACCTAACAACTGGATATGTCTGCGAAAAGAAAAGATGAGCATCTCTGTTATTTTAAATTGACTGTCAAACTACCTTTCTAAGCGATTTATTTGCAACTACATTTCAAAATAGATAAAAGTTATATAACCAATTATTAATTTCGTCCAATGTAGGCATTCCTTATTTGTCACTGGACCTTAATACAGTCAGTAAAGCAATTGACCAATCTATATTGTTAGTTGATGTATTTCTACTTTTTAACTGACTCTTTATATATGTTATTTTATCACTGAATAAAGATGATAGCAGTCAACATTTTTTTATTGATAAACATCGATAGTTCTCTTGAAGACTATCCAATACAATGGATCATTGAGCTCATAGATATAAGAAGATGTGGTAGAATTACCAATGAGACATGTACATCTCTCCATCCAAGTCACAAATTGTAAAAGTAAACCATTATAGGTCAAGGTACTGTCTTCAACACGGAGCCTTGGCTTACATCGAACAGCAAGCTACCCAGAAAACACAAAAACATCTTTAAAATGTTATTAAAATGTTATGTCGAATGTCATGAAAATATCGCAACAAAAAAAAACGCAAGGAAAAATTTAAAAGTGTATGTGGTTGGATAAATATCGCAAAAACGATTTCGAAAATATTTCCTTAAATATTTGCATAATATAATTAAAATGTTGTCAAGAAATATCATGACAATGTGAAAAACAATGGTGTATAAAACATTTTGATAATCTTTTCAAAAATATTTTCTAGAAATATTTTCTGAACGTTTGAAAAACATCATGAACATTAAATAATGTTATAAAAATATTTTTGGGATGTTTTCTTTCAAGTGTGACTGTGCCTAAAAAATGTTGTTTGAAAATGTTTTAAGAAGATGTTTTTGGTTGATATCTAGATCATATCAATATAAAATTTCTGTACTTTTAACTGAGTTTCCTGCTATTCATATAACAAATCATTAGTTTAATAGAAACACAGTGATTCATTCTATATACAAACAATAATAAAATCAGTTGTTTTGCTAAGCATATGAAAATTCACAATTCAAAGTATCTGAAAACAAGAAGTATCTACAAATTTTGACACATCCAAAATGGCAGACACAACTCATCATGGTCAAGCCACTAACCATTGCTAACCAAATATGAAGTCATTCTGTTCAGCAGCATTACCAATAGAAGTTATAAAAAATTTAAGTTCATTCAACATATTGAAATACATGTATATTTGGATGGAGAGTTGTCTCATTGGCACTCATACCACATCTTCTTATATCTATATAAGCAAACTGGAAACGGGTATATGAGTGGCAGATACAAAAAATATTCACACATCACAGTTCATCACTATCAAGCAGCTCATCAAATATGAACTCATCCTGATCAGTGGTTTTGGGGAAAACAGTAATGAAAGTATTTGTTGGACAAATATACATGTAGATGGACAGACGACAGACAGTGCAAAAAAGTCCACATTCCTACCACAATGGTATACTGTTTAGTTTTTCACTCTTAACTTGTTTTACCTATCTAATACACAACATGCACATGCCATACGAAACATGCGTGAAATATTTGCCACTGGACATTAAGCAAACATCAATCAATCCATTATACACATTTTAAAGTTGAGGTTACATTGACTAAAACTTGTGTCCCAAATTCAGAATTTTTCATATAACTTAACTATTTTAACTTAAATGTTACACTTCTAATACTAAATAGGGTTACATCTAAAGTCAATAATCATTAATAATTGGCTTAAGAGATGAAGAGCAAAACACTATTTTGCATCCATTATTTGACTTATTTAAGAAATACATTGAAAAAGTCCATCAGTTGTCTTATTCGGAATCACTTGGAATGTCTTTTAGTGTCATATCTTTTTCTTGCTGTGCCATGCTTCTGAAAAAAAATGTTATAAATCTTACATTCATATATAAACTTCTTGAACATTCCTTAAGATGCCTGAAGCACATATTCCCCCTCCGCTTTAAAGTTTTGAAACAAATAACCAGTAGTCCTAAAATGAGGATATTGAAAAATTCTTAAAAGGCATCTATGTTATCCTTTAAACAATATATATATATATATATATATATATATATATATATATATATAGATTGCCTAACAATGTAATTTTAACACACTATTTAGTATGTAAATATAAGAATGTTTAAAATATTTACAAAATGATGAAAATAAACGCAATATTTCGCCAGACCAACTAGCTTCATCAAGCGTGCATCTATCCAGGTGAAATCGGATGTAGATGACAAGAAACTTTTGCAGCTCAATGTATATGTTGCACTTGAATTTAGCTGCCTTGAAAATAATACATAATTTGGATGAAGTTCAAGATTTTTACAAAATTGGTAGTTGAAGTTAGCAACGTCCATTGGCCAATATTACAAAAAATTTTAAAAATGTGTCTTCCATTGTTCAGAAGCATTGGAAAATTATAGAAAATGATTCAAATCTTAAAAAAGTATTTTCCTCACCACCAGTCATGGCCTTCAGAAGACCTAAAAACATCCGTGACAAATTAGTGACATCTGTATTAGCAAAGCAGCCTACTCCATTTCCCGGTTGCTACAAACAATGTGGTCGAAGGAACTGCTTGTGTTGTAAAGCTGCCAATACAAGCAGTTCTTTCATCAGCTCCGTTACTAAACAAAATTATACCATCTACTCAAATTCCAACTGTAAAACGGAGAACTCAATTTATATATTAACATGTGACACATGTGGCATTCAGTATGTGGGAGAAACAATGGACAAATTTAATATTCGGCTCAATAACCATCGTTCATGGTACAAAACCAACAAAAACTGTCCTCTCACAAGACATCTTCGTTCAACGAAACATTCTTTTGATAATGTTACCTTCCAAATCATAGAAGTCAACACCGAGTGGGAGACCACGGCGAGAAGGAGAAGAGAAAAATTTTTGGATCCACCAACTCCACACTTTAGAACCTGATGGTCTTAACGAACAAGATGAGAAAAGATACAGGAAAGATAAAGAATAATTTAGTACACAATATCGTCCTTTTTATCCTGTAATATTGGCCAATGGACGTTGCTAACTTCAACTACCAATTTTGTAAAAATCTTGAACTTCATCCAAATTATGTATTATTTTCAAGGCAGCTAAATTCAAGTGCAACATATACATTGAGCTGCAAAAGTTTCTTGTCATCTACATCCGATTTCACCTGGATAGATGCACGCTTGATGAAGCTAGTTGGTCTGGCGAAATATTGCGTTTATTTTCATCATTTTGTAAATATTTTAAACATTCTTATATTTACATACTAAATAGTGTGTTAAAATTACATTGTTAGGCAATCTATAATTTTATTTGTGTAATTGAATTAATCTCTGTACTGATTAATCCACACTCCCATAGATTTGTATGTCATGTGCTGCTATTTATAGGCACTTATATATATATATATATATATATATATATATATATATATATAGCATTTAACAGGATCAAATGTACAGTACAGATAAAAGCATTTTCATTTATCAATATTAAAAGGGCTTTATTGCCTTTCATTAAAGCTGAACTTTATTTTGTTATTGAAAAAACCCACATAAAATAAATTAAGACTACAGATGTGTCTAGTCAAGAGTCTGTTATTTTATTATACTTGTTGATTGTTGTCTATCATATTTTTTTCTTTTTTTGTTTTATATAAATCAGGCTGTTGTTTTTCTTGTTTTTTTTTAGTTTTCAATATACGTAACATTGTATCGTGTAGTGGTCTTTTTAAAACCCTGCTAAATTTAACATCTTATTGTCCTTTTTAAGTATTAAAATCCTTAGGGTAACATAGTTCATAACTGGTTATTTTTATCTTAGGGCATGCGATACAGTACTAGTAAGGCGTACGGAAAGGGTCAAAAAGAGGTGCGTAAGCTATAAAATATAGCATAAGCTATATCTGACGTCCCAAAAGGGTCAATATATAATTGTCTGGCTATGCTGCATTATTTATCGCATATGCTATATTACAAACATTGACTATGCTATATTTTCAAATTGTAGCATATGCTGTACTATTTCAAACACGTCATTAAAGGTTAAAAACTTGAAAGTAGCTAGGCTATATAATTCATTTTGATTAGATTGTATATCTTACTGTTGGAAGGCGTGTTTAACGAATCAAGTCAAAAGGTAGAACTTTATCCTCCAACTCAGGTCTTGTAAAAGCTGAATACATTTATACCATATCAACATATAACATAAACATTATTTTCAGCCTGAATATTTATGTAATAGTTGCCGCTGTACATTAAGCGCCCATCTATCCATGTGTAGGTGTTGGCATTTTAAAATCTTAATTTGAAATAATTTGTAAAAGTTCATATCAACGATAAACATATGAGTAAGTTGAAGTGACCAATCTAAATGGTTATCTATTTGGAAATCGGCAATAGAAATAGTGTCACTAAGGTCCTGTTCTGACCGGCAGTAAAACCCTTGTCTAAAGTAAAAGGCTGAATTTTTAGTAAATTCATGGTAATTGTGCGTTGTTTGTGCTTAATATATATATATATATAGTATTCAGAAGAAGATGAACAGTCATGAATAAAACTATCATACTTGCGAAATAGCAGTAAATCGATCAAGTTGCATTTAATTTCACTCGAAAAAGGTTGACCGATTCACCCGAAAAACACGATCGCAGCCGGACACTTTACTTACCGTGTTACAAGACACGATAAAATGAGACAACCAACGTCCTAAATTATGCTAAAATAATGAATCAAAAAGTAAATATTACTAAAAAACCAAAATAGATTACAATTTAGATTGGTCACTTCAACTTACTCATATGTTTATCGCTGATATGAACATTTAAAAATTATTTCAAATTACGATTTTGTTTTAAAAGTGTTCTATTTTTACTTCAAAATATATTAAATTGAAAGATGCAACAGGCCCCGCATTTGCAAGCCCCTTCCAAGAGATAAAAAACAACGTATATACAAACATAATGACAGCACAAAAAACTAATTCATTATTATAACTGCCTCACAACTGAATCATTTGATTAATTAACATATAGTGTTGCTCATTTATCTGACTGACGGCACGCATTAATCAAAATGCCAACACATAGATAAATAGGCGCTTAATGTATAGCGGCAACTATTGCATAAATATGCAGGCTGAAAATAATGTTTATGTTATATGTTTATATGGTATGAATGTATTCAGCTTTTACAACACCAGCACGATGAGTTGGAGGATATAGTACCCTTTAACATT